TATGCAGCTGTTTTAAAATTAAACATTTCTCTATATTCTCAAGATATGTAGACAGACTTTTATAAAAATAATCTTTCTGATTCAAGTCTTGACATGGAACATACTGAGGTAAACTATTTCTACTGGGTCATAATCTTCCACAGTTTGGAAAATGGAATTTGATTTCTTTTTTAAATGGAGACAAAAATCATGTTTTTTAATTTGGCTAGAGTTTATGTGAATTAAGTCAGACCCTAAAAATGTTGTCATTGATAAAATGATACAGTTCAAACATATAATCTTAAGATCAAGTTTATATTGAATGTGATGAAAAATCATTTAAGGAACTCATTCAAAACCAGCCATTTGTAAATGAGATGTGCATATTATAAATAAGCTGATAATTATAGGAATTTATTTCACAATTTGTTCAAAACAAAAGACCAATGGACCATGTTTAACACAGCAATGTGGCGATTTGAAAAGGGATAAGATAGATTAATTATTCAGTAAATCAGAAACGCTTAACCACGAAACCCGACTACTCAGTGTTCTGAAATCTGATGAAGATTGCGAATACATGGAACACAAAAATTACGATTTTATCAATAAATTTTAAAGGCCTAATAGAATCAGTACCACGCCGAAGATTTGATAACTGGTACCAACCTATAACAAGAAATGTACCCAAACATTGGGGTATCTCATTATTGACAAGGTTTAGGGTGAATAAAAAATTTGTCACAATGGGTTACCATTACAAGCCGTTATTTTACGCATTTTAAATCAGTCGTGTTCAATGAAGGGAGGACAAGAGATAACTATAAGCATCAGGGTATCAACACTAAGGTATGCTTTTGTGTTTTTTACTAAGGGTATATATCTGGGCTTGTTTTAGCTTGATTCAAGTGTATTTTTGCTATGCATTCATTGAGTTGGACTAACAATGTATTGGATGTTCAATTTGACAGTAAGTTAATTTCTCAGAATTTTATAATTCATTCAAAAAATTCTCTGAAGAATATTGATTTAATTTGAAATTCTCAGTATAAATCTGAGGACTTATCTACAAGACACAGTTTTTAACATCTGTAAGGGTTTCTCCAATTTTTAAATCGACTCAATTAACCAGCCCACTGTGAGAGCCATTGTCAGCTTTAATCACACTTGGAATTGATTAAAGCACATCAAAGTTTGGGTCAGTGATTAAGAATATGCATCAATTTATTTCTTTAATCAGAGAACAAAATGCCATTCTCAAAGGCTTCTGTGGGTTGTAGCTTGTCTTGTTGGGGGTGACATGGTGTTAATTAGTCAGTGACAGAGGGGCAGTGATGGAATGACTACAAAATTTACAAACTGAAAAAGTTCTGTTTTTTCCCGAAACTGTTTACTTTTGGAGTTGTTTGTTGACAAATAGATGTGTAGTGATGCATTTTGTGCGAGACTGACACTTTTGAGTTACCGATATATAGGACATTCATCAGTGGTATGTTGAACCATTTTCTGTTACTCTTAACTAGATAGAAAGTTTCAGGTAAGTTAAAAAGTTTCAATTTTTCAAAATCTATAATTATATTTGATATTTCATTGTGTATTTCTAACCAGGTAGAAAAAAAATTGAAAAGTTTAATTTCAACATTTCAGGAGTAGAAGGAAACTAATTTTTTTTTTAAAATTTCATTTTTTTTTTTTGAAATGGCTACATGCATACTTAACATGGATCCACTTTTTACATCAGCATTTGTTCATTCTATCAAATTGGATTTAATATTGTTTGATGTTATCTCTTGCCTCCTTAAAATATCTCCATAAATGATTTATACACTGGGTAACAGTAAAAAGGTAGCCATGCCTTGTTCTTCACACCTCAAAAGTATTTTCACACAGGTTTTTAATCTGATAAATGAGCTATTTCTGCCCTTTGGATACTGTATAAATGATACAGGCCATTATGAGGGGTTAATGATATTGTAGTTGCAGGCAAAATATTTCTTTAATATTTTGTTTTTATCATGTTAAGATATGATCACATTATGAGATTTAGTTGTTTGGTACTGGGGTTGAATTTCTTGACTTATCTTAAAGAAGTGTGTGGTCTTCTCGACACAGGATAATTATCTTTGAGGTAATTATTTTATATGAAGTATTAATTGACTCAAATTTAATTGATTAGTTTTTGTAGTTTCTAAAGTCAAATTAGATATTCTATAAATAAACTAAATTTTTCTCATGTTGAATAAGGATTTCACATCTTGTTTATATTCACTGATTATGCTCTATTGAGACCAAAATAAATTTATTTCAGTTGAGCAAATTTTACATTCAAAAGTTGATATTTCAAACTGTTTCTTTTGCTGTTATCAAAAGATTCTGGAATGTTTTCACTATCAAGGTTGCATTCTTCAAATGACCTCCCAAGTTTTGAGAGATTCTGGTAGATAGAACTTTGCTTGTCATTCATGACATTGTAGCAACAATCCGTGTGTACACGATATACTTTAAATTCTGTCCTATTTAATTGTAATTTGATGGTACAATAGAAAATTGAATCGGATCACTCCTGGATTACCCAGATGTGAAAGTTGAACCAGGGCCATCATTGTCAGCAGGGAGAGAGGATACATTAGCATGAGAAAAAAAGGTTGTATGACTTCAAGACTTGGGTAATGTAGGCACATATTGCTCTGCTAAAGGAAACAAAAGTTACACATCCTGGATTGAATTTCATTCAACTTTTTACTCTTCGCTGGCCAAATGGTGTGAATATTGACAAAATGTGAGAAAGATAATGACACATGGAATATCACTCCGATTAGCGGAACAATTGCAGCGCTAGGCGAGGGGGACAGTTTTGTAATGAGATTGGATGAGGGGACTGTCACTTTTTGTTGGATTCCGAGATCGTGGATACTGATAGGCTTGTATAGGAGATTTCTGTCTTGAGGTTTCCCACTGAGAGATAAAATAGGGAAAGTTGTTTTAAAGAAGCACTCAATGATGTCATAGATTCACAGTTTGGGAATTTGTGTGGAATAATTTAGTCTGATAATTTAGTTCTGTAAGTAATGTTTTGAATTTGCCAAATGTATGAGTAATTACTTCTAAATGATTTTCTGATGTGTTTGCAGTGCAGATTTTATTTTCAATATGTAGTTAGCACTTTCAAATGTATCTAAAATGTTTTCCACATTTCTTTTATTTTGTTTGATGATAAAAGGAATCACTTATACATCATGGCGAGTTATTTGTATTAATAGGCAAAGACCGAAATATGTTTTTAAGTTCTTGATTAGGAGTACCCATAGAGCCATCAGGAATTCATGATATTTAGTGGCTCACACCAGAGAAAATTGATCCCCCCTTAATTCATGGTCTTAACTCCACCAGGGCTACAGGAAATATTTGCCCCTGTGTTGATAATTAATGGCTCCTGCACCCAGCTACAGAAAACATGTCAGAAACTAATCACAGTTGCCCCCACAAAGTATGAGAATCATCCCTCAATATCCCTTTGAACGAGAAAAAAAGTAAATTCCTTTAGTTGTTTTTCTAAGTTTGTAGAGTTTTGGGTTGACATTTGATGGCTCTGGTAGCCTTGCTAACTGTCCAGAGCTTGTATTGATATGTTGTTGTAAGATCAGCAGGGGAGATAATCCTGGATGTATGACTAGCAGGTGACTGGAGAGAATTCCCCCCTTTCCATGTAGTGCATGTTTATGATACAGGGAATCCCTTTTTATCAGGCTACTTGTACACCTATACAATGTTAATCTGTTATTGTTGTCAATGTATCAGCATGAGAAATCACAACAGTGTCTTCCTTCTCTGGAATCTCTTTACAACAACTTCAGAATCTTTTACAGTTCCTTAACTTCTGATCTCTCTAACTTTACTGGACTTTCATGGGAGGTCCCGGGGAGCAATGTTCTATTAATTGACCAGTCTTTGGGGAATAAAATGCTATAATTATTGACAGTTAAAAGAGTGGATGGTCAGGCAAAACAGTACAGCACCAAAGACTCCAATCCTGCAGAGCTCCCAAACTCTCACTCACACAGGCTGAGAATGAACTCCATGAGTTCACTCAGCAGAGAGTCTGATATGGGTGTCAGAGATAAATTGAGCTCAATATGATCTTTCTCTAAGGCCATCAGTCATTATAACAGATATGCTGCATAATGTCAGTGTGATTTTCACCCCATATCAATATGTGTGGTTTACCATTTTTTACAAGGCAATAAATTTTTGGATGCTGGATTTCAAAATCTTTCCTATTATCATGGTGTCTTTTTCTTGGGCATGCTCCGAATTTATAATATACAGAAAAAAAAATGAAATATAAGATGTTTAGAGAACAAAGTTTTTCCATACAAGAAATGATAAATAGAATACATTATCATGAGTTCATTTAACTATGATGATTAGTAGCTGTAATAGAAACATTTGTATTTGTAAGTAAAAATATAGAACTAAGAAACACATTTAATTTGTAATGGTCAGTAAAGAAGTTTGTTTTTAAAGGAAAGGGGATAAATTTTGTTTGCATGTTACAAAGTTAAGAGGAATGATATATTGCGATAGTTCTCGACTTTGGTCATTAAGTGGACCTAGGGTAAGATAGAAAGGATAAAGGAAATCTGTCAAATTGTCTTTTTATCTCTTCTAATCATCAGACTAAAAATTTCCAATCAATTTCTTTCGTTTATGAAGCATATGTTGGTTCTAAGATAATGCTGGACAAAAGGAAATATTTACCTTTAGTAGGCCACACATACTCGGTATCAAGGTAGATGAAATTTTAAACTTCAGAGGTAAATAAGGAAAATTTTTAATTTAAATGGGATTTATTAAATCATTTCTGTACACATCTGCCTTGAAGGGACGTGGTCTGTTTTTCTTGATAAGAACCAAAACAGAGCCATGTGCTTTTCCCCATCGGCTTGATGCTCTATTGGCCAATGGTGTTTGTTGGGGGAGGTGCTAGTAGGCTATCTCCTGCTATCACAACTATTGACGGAGTGCGCCCACTAATTATGAAAGGAGATGTTCATTTTTACTTCTCATCACAGAAACTATTTCATATTAAATGTTTTAAATCACCCAGGCTGTAGGAGTTTTAGTGAGAGACAAGGATAAAAGAATATTGTGTATTGGGAAGTGAATTATTTCCAATCTCCGTAGGTATTTATCTATCGATAGTTTGCCTTGCGTTTCACTCTCTTTACAACTTCTAATATCTTGCTGAGCTTTTCAATTTTTTTTTCGTAGCTCCCAGAAATGTTTTTAACATTAACTTTCAGCATTGGTTTAGGTTTGGGTTAAGTCCTGTTAGCAATGACTTTTAGTATGTGATCCCCTGTTTTGAAGTAAATTAAATAAAAATTGATGGAATGGCTTATGGTCAGTAATACCTACTTTGATCATTCATTAATGGGTTTGTATCGGTTTAAATCAATTCAGAGTGGACATTAGTTGGACTGACATTTGTGTCCCCGAGACTGGAAGCACCAGAGTGGTCAGATCTTAGCCTTAACTCTAATTAATTTAACACTTCTAATACAAACAGCAATATTTCCCTCTGACAAAAAAAAGCGGAACTCTGGAAATGGTTTTTCTTTCTGAGAGCTGGATTAACGGCAGACTCTGGCAATGTGTGCAAACTTTGAGAGTAAACATTATTGTAAAATTCACTTAACCTGAAGATCAATCACAGCAGTGGATAAATATTTGGGCAAATTTGCCCTATAGTTTAGGATATGTAAGGGATGGATGGGTGATACAGGAGTTTTATATCAATCAGGGCATGACTTAGTGTAGACTTAGTGTCCCATAACAGATTAATCTTATTATCTCTGCAGTCATAATGAACATAATGCATTAGGAGTCTAATTATCTGGTTGGATTTACTATGGATGTGAAGATTTCAATGTAAAATTTATTTTTTTATGATTATAGCCTTTTGACATGTATTATTTTATAAGAAATATGTTTTATTGGTATATTTTGTCATAGGAATGATTTTAAAAAGTAAATGTTTGACTAATTTTCTTTTTCTTTGTTTTTTCAGATTTAAACTATTTGATGATTGATTTTGAAGGATTGTCATTTCCACAGAAAAATTGTCGTCAATAGCCAAGGGCTTGTTAGATCAAGGGACATTAAAATACAGTGACAGAAACACTAACAGATATAGTATACTGATAGAAAGATAGTACCAGCCCAGGTTAAGTCAACCAAGCCATGAAACAATGATGGCAGGGCCAGGTGAATCATTACGGGACATACTCCAGTGATCATCCTCCTACTCTGGGGTGTATTGGGTAGAGAGATCAGAAACTGGACATTTAACATCTGGAAGTCAGTAATGATCATTATCATGAATTAAGGTTTCTCTGTATATACCTGTGTGCCTCTCAGGATAAATGGTCAGTTGAGTAAGAGCCATCCGTGTGTCATCTGAAGAAATTTCCAGAGGAGTTCCCTGTGATTTTTCATTTTAAATTCCTTTTTTCTTTTCTCTCATGAGGGATTTCAGAGCTAAAAGTTTCGCACCAGGGGATTGAGTTTGTTCTGAATTAATGCAAGGATTTTCATACAACCAGATGTAAACTAATTAAATTAAGTTAAAACTTGAAGATTTTTTGTGTTTGCAAACTTTAACACTAGTCATGAAGTCTGGCAACATTAAAGTGTGTTTTTTTGGAACTGTGCTTCTTCTAGCCTGCAGTAATTTCATTTTCGGACAAGATGTGGTGTATCATCTACTGGAGGGGGACGAGTTAGGTAGGACGGTAGGAAACGTTGCAGAAGCTGCCAAGCTAATAGAAATTGTAGGAGAAGGGGACTTTCCTCATCTCCGATACAGTTTCCTAACAACAGGAACCCCTCATTATACAAGTTTTAACATTCACAATCAATCTAGCTTATTGACAACAAATCAGGCCATTGACCGTGAAACATTGTGTGAATTTACCAACATATGTTTTATAAAATTAAACATAGCTGTTCAGTCCATGAAGACGAGTTTCTTTAAGAAAGTGACCGTTTATGTGTATATTGATGACATTAATGATAATCCTCCAGTTTTTGACAAACCATCCATAGATCTTGTGATTTCTGAATCTGTCCTTGTAGGAACTTCTATCACGATTGATGGAGCTCGAGATGCGGACACCAGTGACATATACTCGTTACAAACTTACGAAGTCATGCCCAATAACACACCATTTGAAATTAACTTTCAGAAGAAGTTGGATGGCACATCAATCGTCAAGTTATTTGTCAAAGAGGCATTAAACCGAGAACAAAGAGACAATTATCTGTTCAACGTGGTTGCGAGAGATGGAGGATCACCTCCTCTTAGTGGTACACTGAGAGTCAATATCACCATCACTGATGTTAACGACAATTCTCCAAAATTCTCACAATCCACCTATTACATTGAAGTCAAAGAAAATGTCAATTTATCAACAGTAATTCTCACTATTAGGGCCACTGACCTGGATGATGGAAAAAATGGAAGAGTATTCTACCGCCTAAGTCCTCACCAGTCCGAGACTATTTTAAGCTCGTTTGCTGTAGACAATACCACTGGTGATTTAACAGTGATAAAACCACTGACATATGTTAAAGGTGAAAAGCATATTATAATTGTGGAAGCTAGTGATTTTGGTGACCAACCTCTCACATCTCAAGCTCTGGTCAATGTCACAGTGCTGGATGTTGGCAACAACCCTCCAAGTATCAACCTTAACCTATTGTCTTCAGATTCTCTTGCCAGAGTCTCGGAGTTTGCCAGCAGGGGGACTGTGGTGGCACACATCGCTGTTGATGATCCTGACACTGGAAGAAATGGAGAGATCTCATGTAACATTAACAATCCTGCCTTCAAGCTGCAGAGGCTTGAAAACAAGGAGTTCAAGGTGACAGTTGATCAAGCCCTGGACAGGGAGCTCTACCAACAAATCCATGTGACAGTTTTCTGTAAGGACACTGGCAGCCCTCCTTTGAACACATCTGCTAGCTTCTATGTGGAAATTGAGGATGAAAATGATAATGCTCCTGTGTTTGACTTATCTGTATATACAGCAGGAATCATGGAAAACAACAATATTGGTGATGTTATTGTCCATGTCCAAGCAACTGATGAAGACGAAGGAAAAAATGCTGATCTTCGTTATTCCCTCAGTGAAAGTAATAATGGCATGTTCTACATTGATGAAAAGAGTGGGATCATTCGTACTCAAGCGAGACTTGACCGAGAGAATACCTCCTCTTACTCTATTGTAGTGATTGCACAAGATCAGGGTGATATACCCCTGTCTGGATCCGCCACTGTCATCATCTCCGTCCTCGACAAGAACGACAATAAGCCAACATTTAATCAAACCCATTACATGTTTTCTGTGGATGAAAATGCTCCTGCAGGATCACAGGTTGGAATTCTATATGCAACTGATAATGATGAGGGAGAAAATTCAGTCATCACGTTCACTGGGCCAGATTCAGTTCCGTTCACAATATTTCCGGGAGGCTACATTAAAACTGACCGTGTACTGGATAGAGAGGTCCAGAATCGTTATGAGTTTATTGCACAAGCCAAAGACAATGATCATGTGACCACTGCAGTGGTAACTATAAACCTAAATGACAAAAATGACAATAATCCAGTGGTTACCTCCCCTAGTCATCTAAACAACACCATTTATGTTGACAAGCATACAGTGGTGAACACCATGGTAACTGTTATCAGAGCATATGATTTGGACTCTGGTATTAATTCAAATCTTATTTTCGAAATCGTTGGGAGAAATGACTCTGGACATTTTCACTTGCACCCTGATAAAGGACAAGTCTTTCTGAAGCGCAGTCTGGAGGATAATGTTGGAAAATCCTTCAGACTGGATATTCTTGTCTCGGACATGGGAAACCCTGTACTTTCTACACCAGCCACCCTCAACATCAGGATCCTGAGTTCTAACTCTTCTCCGCTGGAGAGCAAGTCGAGCAATATTATCATAGTAGCTATACTTGTGTCTGTGACAATCATTATTTCATTAGCTATAATTATCGTCATAGTCTTCATCAGAAGAAGTGATAGGCAGCGGAGAAGTAAAAGACCGGATAATGAAAACTTTTACAAAGGCGTGTTGGAAAACACGGCCACAGTTTTTGCAGCCCCGAGCGAGGAATCCATATCTGAGAAAAAGAAAAAGAAAGGTGTCAGCTTCTCACTGGAGAATGGTGTGGACAAAGTGTCAGAGGTCACCACTCAGGGTCAGGAGTTCACCTACGATAACGACATGGAGGTAAGCCTATTTTTCCCTGAATATAATAATACTTTATGAAAGGAAATACAGTATGGGATTTCTAAGGTTCTTTTAACTAACATTACCTTTCCTTGTCTAATTCTTCTTTGTGAACTTATGTAAATTTTGTTTACTGATCTTGTGACTTGTATCAGATTTTGGAGGAGGAAATTGTTATTGAATATCCTCCAATGATGGCACAGCAACTCATAAATAATCCCCCCGATTTGACCAGAGGTTGTTCCCCTTTTATTGAGCAAGAAGTTAGGACAGGGTCTAAGGCATCCAGTCCAATACCATCAAGGTCATCTACACCAGTAAGCCCTGAACTTTCACCTAAAAGTATCCTCAGAAACAAGAATGCAACCTTACCTAATTATAAAGAGCCATCCACACCAAAACAGCCATCATCAGCAACACAGCCATCATCAGCAAAACAGCCATCATCAGCAAATCAGCCATCCTCACCAAAATGGCCATCATCAGCAATACAAACCTCACCTTCCATACCAAAGCAAACCTTACCTTCTACATCAAAGCAAACCTTCTCTACAGAAAAGTTATATACAACAAAGACAATGCAAGGCTTACAGGGAGGTTTACCATATTTAAAGACAAAGTCTTCTTCACAGCCACATTTATATAATCCACCATCATCATCTTATACCAGTCAGCCTCCAATTCCACCAAGGTCAGGCAGGGCTACCAGGAATTTCAGACCACTTATGATGACCAATGGCAGCCTTCTCCTCCACTCCACTAGACCTGTCTCACCATTTGAGATTTCTGTCTAGGTATAATTTTACCATCTCTTGGTTTGTGTGGGGCTTGCAGTGATGATTTTATTTGTTGAGAGTTGTCTCCTTTTTGTGATGATGTCAGTATTTTGTGATGATGTCACTATTTAGTTGCCTTGGTGACAGGTGTGCCGTCTGTAGAAGTTTTGATTTTAGACTGCTGTGATCTTGTGATGCAGTATCTCTAATTGTAGTTTAACCTTTTGGTTAATGTTTTTTCATTTGTCAATCACTCTGTAAGTATGAATGAAATTATCGCCTTGTTGTCTAAACCTACTGCCCTGCAAGATATCAAAGCAAGTACGATCCTACTTAAAGCATATATTGTTGTCTTAAATGCTTCTGTTCTTCTGCTTTTGAAGCCAAAATAAAGTCACCAGATGCCCTCCTAAAAGTTGAAAAATTATCTTCCAAGTTCAATAAGTTGAGGAAGTCTGTCAAATTAGCATTCCACCTTAAATACCACCACTAAGGCGTTCAGTTACAGTGATGCAAAACAGTAGCGAATCTGTCTATATCTGTGTGTTTTCAGTGAGATAATGTGAAGGAGAAATTGACAAGCTCAATGAAACCTTAACTCCTATCAAGGCTCTAAGCCCAACGGATAAAGATCTGTTTAGTTCTGTTTTTGTAAACATCTAAACCTTAGAGCTCAACTCTTTTAATCTTTTTAACTTCCTTTTTATTACAATAGGTCCATAAAAACACAGACATGTACTTTTTATCTGTCTTACCTAAATAACATAAGAAATAAATTTTAGCTCTATGCCTGACTCAGCCTTGGAACATGGTGCTTCTAGTCAACCAAGATTTATAGATCCTATCGTAAAAACAAATTCTTGATCTGATATATAAGCAAATACATAAATACTCCAATTTTATTTTAAACATCAAGATAAATGATAGTCAAAGAATTTTCCTGGCAAAAAATGTACCCCTCTTTCACTTGAGTTTTCTTCAAGAATGTGAGAAAAAAAAAATGAACACGTCAAATAGATTGTTTCTATTAATTAGCGAGATCAGTCAGTGCTCTTAGACACCTGTAATGCAATGAAACATTTCATCTCTCTGTGATATTTTGTTTGTTTTAATGGGGTTTTATTTTTTCACATCATTCTGTCTTTCCTTGTACTGTGATCGTCTGCCAGTAAATGCCGTATCTGCCCAGTTGCTACCGTGCAGAAGATTAACAGAATTCGGATTTTCCTCATTGAACCCACCTAATTCTTTAAAATCATCGTTTGAAAACTTGAAGTAAAAAACAGGGAGTAGTGAACTGTTAAAGAATGACGCGCATAGGTTATAAGTATCAGGCAGATGCCGACAAAAAGTGTTGAAATTGTCCTCCAAAAAAAGATTAATGATCACTTTCTTCCCGATTGAAAAGAAACATGGAAACATTGTGATAAAGATGTTTGAAGTCATGCATGTTTGAACTTCCTAGCAAAAACCTTGCAATTGGTTGTAATTGAAAGCGATTTTAAATTTTCAGAGAAGTTGAGATGAATTCTGCTTTAACTCTCAGGGCCTAATTGATGCTTCCACATCTTTATGACACTCATTTCAGAAGTTTGAGGATGATTTATGAGAATTTTATCTTTTGTTTGAATGCTAAAAAAAAATCAGAAATCATCTGCTATCTTTACCCAGTTCCCAAACGTGTAGTCTAAGATACCTCAAAAGTTCGAAGGGGAAACCTATTCAGTGAGGTTTTGTCACTGAGGGGCCATTTCCTTGGACATAGTGGAAGGGGGGGACATAAAAATCACTTGATCCCTCACTAATGATGGAATCTGTTGTTCCTCCAGACAGATCGACAGTATGACAGGCATAAAACAAGCATAAAAATCTAAACTTGTAACAGCAATTTTCCAAATTATTCTCATTTTACGACTGGTAATCAAAGTGTGAAAAGTTGTCTGTGAAAATCTAATGAAATATGTTTGCTCTTCTAATGAATAGGTTTGGAATAGATGACTCTAAAGTAGTTTTATAAAAGTGAAGTGACCCTCAATTATGACTTCACATCAAATGGCAGCAAATGATTTATACAATTGTATTAAAATCTGTTAAGTCATAAAAAGTGAAGAAATTTTAGCATGTAGTGCACAATGTGATCAGATTTGATACAGGAGACAATGAGTTTGAAAATTTTGACTAGAAGTTTGCTGAATGTAAATTATAGGCTTAATGACTGGTGTAGAGATGGGTTGATGTTTGCCCTTGTTTGTGAGGTTGTGTGCCATGTGGGTCAGTGCTTTATAAACTTTTTGGGGAGGTGATGCGTCCAAATGAATTTTCCTGCTGATTTAAATCCCTGAATAAAGCATTGAATTCGGGCAGGAAATCTAAAAGGGATCAATATAATCGGAATATTCTGTGGATCGTGAATCCGACAGACTTCACCTGCTACTATATGCTGTAAATGATACAAAATTGATACATTGCCATGGCATGATAGACAGGCGAAAAAGGGTTGTCAAGTAGATGGGGGATAATTGAACATGTAGACTGTCTCTGCACCCCTCCCAAGTATCAAAGTCCAAACACACACCTGCTGTGAAAACATGCTCAACTGACTTTGGAACTTGCATTTAATGTTTCTATCTCGTTTTACTTCTACAATGTAGGTAGCTTTCTTGTTGGCAAATGTGAAACTGGATATTATGATATCTGTTAAAACATGATAATCTTGTCTGTCTTTCTCATTACTCCTAGTGTATTTGAAAATTTATACTTTTGTATACCACAGGTGTTGATGCTGCTCATATTTTTTAATGCTCACAGTTTACCCTCAGTGGCCATTTATGAAACTCTAAACAGTTGGTATCTGAGAAAACTTGTGGGAGAATTAGACAAATTTTTTCATAAGAAAAATTGAGATCTTTGGAAACCCCAGATTATCTACTGTATATCTAGTAATTAACTAATTCAAGGATTTATCCCCAATCCCGAACAAGATTAATTTTTACAACATCAAGCATGAAGCAAGCAGAGGAAAAAAAATTGGATAGAACATGGAAAGAACATCAAAGCCTATAAATATTAATGGAATATGAAATAAATGTGCGAGCCACTGATATGGTTTCCAGCCGAGGGTGCTGATGATATGGCTTTCTCCTGCAAAGAAGTTTAGAGCAAATCCTCATAAAATTTCCATTTGTCGAGAAGGGGGTCCTCTAAACTCTTTATTGTATGTGATGGATAATCACCATGTAATATCCTGGTTTCAAGAGCTTTGTCACACAGTGTCCACTGAAGGAACCTAGACATGGAAGCCAAAAGGTCATTAATGTAAAAGTTTTAATCAGCAGGAATAGTTAATGTGTCTTTTCAGAGAAAAAAAATGGTTGGTGCCTTTTAATAAAACTCATCCCATTCAATCGCCCATTATCCGGAACCCTCCCTCATGCTTTAGACAATAGGTATTATGTTTAGTTCCATGATTTAAGAAAATGTCATTAAAAAAGTAGAATAGCACATGGATGAGAGACCTGTAGGGAGCAGGCTAAAATGTTAAGTGACTGTGACGGACACCATTACCGGACATTTAGAAACTCACTGGGTAGTCTCACCAGAGTCTGTTACTGTGTCATAAGATACTTGAGAAGAGCCCTCGGTTTTGTCCTGTGTTGTTTTTAGCCCTCTCTAACTTTCTATGTCCTGTCTTTTTTCTGATTTCACCTGCTTCTCATCTGCTTTGGATTTCAGGTACAATAGGTAATGATTAATATATCAATTATACTCAAAACTCCCTCTATTTTTTCACATTTTCTTTGTACCTGTATATGTACAATGCATGAGTATATTTTAGCTGATCTGTTAAATCACATCTTTTACAATATTTGCATGAACTGTTTTTTTTTATCTATTCTATATACATTTTAAAATATTTTTTACTTGTTCAATATAGAGAAATTTTAAAATATAACTGAATTCAGATAGTTTCCAAAAAATGTTCTGTGTTAACCTTCTGAGTCATGTTTTCTCTGAGTTCATTATTTTTTTAACAAAACTTTGATTTTGTTAATGAATTGGTCGGAAGCCAGCTTAGACTGAAGATCTTGTTTCTCAACACCTACAGCAATGATTTTAACGAGTGTCTAATATTGACTTTTTCAGTTTGTGTGATTTTTAATGAGCAGATTTCTTTTAAAAGAAACTTGATAGCTTATATTGATGCACTCCGAACATAGACCTCAAAAACTGCCCCAAGTTAAAAAAAAATATTGTTCATCCCAATATGTCACAGCAGGATTTTAACCGATTATTAATTTGAAAATTTTGACGGCAAATAAGATCCTGTACTTTCTTTCAGATAAACATTGACCTTTTATCTCAGAATTTCAATAATTGATTTATTTCCTTTAGTTAAACTGTGATGGATTATCTTGAAGAAAAAATCAATGATGATTTATCAATGTGAAAATCTAACTTTCTAACACATTCTATTCATGACTTTTTTTATCATTTTAGAGGAAGGTGGAGGACCTTCACAGTTTGGGGTCGGCCAGTGATAGTGGGCGAGGGGGATCCGATGACGAACTCAATACCTCGCGGAACCATAATTCCTCAGGTGTGTGAACCATCAAATTGACCAGTAGATAATCCGTAAAGATAGGGGCATTAAGTCAAACTGGTAATTTTACAGATCATGCGGAGAAAAAACCTATGGCACTACAATGTATAGACACACTGTCATGATGCATGTAACTATATATATATAACCATCAAAAAGTATTTACAAAGCTCAGAAAAAATACTTGTAATAGGAATATAAGGATTTATATCAATGATTTATGATTATGGAATTTAAAATTTAAAATCTCATAAACTTGTCTCAAAAATTAGAAGATAATAATACAATGTAACATTTTTCAAACAAAACTTTTTGGGAAATTTAGGGCAGATTTCGAGATAAGTTAATTGTCCAACCAGTTACTTAATTTTAGACAAATAAATGTAACATTTATGATGTCTAGCATTCCAGTTTTTCTGACACCTCTTTTTACCTCAACAGAAGCAGGTGTAAAATCTGGCTATTTTTGTGTCAACACCATGTTTGTTTACAGAATCAAACATGAAAAACACAGACGCAATACAAATATTACAGTAGCCTACCGCAAAGTGTGCTTACACACCATTTACTGGAATAGTATTATAACATCTAATATTTATTTAAGCCTCTGTCTAATGGACTTCGGCAATTTCTGTTTGCTTCCGGAAAGAATTTTAATTCAAAATTCCACAAATTCAAACACAGAATCTATTAGTGAAGTGTGGAAAAGTGAAATTCAAGGAAAACTGTTACTTGAAGCTATTTCATTTATATGTATGAATTCTCAATTGTTTTTAATGAACAGAATATGCGATTTCAAGTGAAGAATATAATAATGATATTTATCAAATGAATGAAAAATTTCTTCTTTCCTACTTGACTGTAAATAATAAATAAATCACTAAATTCCTGTGAGAAAGTAAAATCCTCACTGTGTTAATTCAGTGTTAGGCTTATCAAATGTTAGAAAATTCAGAAAACTAAGCTGTTTATTTCATGACATGCATTTTGAATGGGTGACGGAGACAACTTCAGAAGGTGATAGCACTTAATTGTGATATCACTGGGTGACATTCTGCAAAGGACATTTAAAGGGGAAAAAAAGATGTATCTTAGGATCCATGCATTTACAGTTTCTTTTTTTTAATCACTTCATTTGGCATTTGTTCTTGACAATGTATTGTTATTGAAAAATTTCATTTGATAAATCAGTACTTGAACTAGGACCTATGGGAAATGATATTACATTGGCCATTAGCCACAGTGAATTACCCTAAGGTTGATGAACAAATGACAACCTGATTAAAATTCTGTAAATTAAAAAAAAAACTTAATATTTAAAGGAAAATTTAGTACTGCTACTGCCTTAGTTTATCCTGGGATGCTGTGATTAGAAACTGCTCAAGATTAGAAAACCAATAAAAAAAGTTAAATTATGTGTAGAACTTTAAATTTAGTATCTGATAAATGGGTGTAATCTGATTCTGTCAAGTTTTAAAAATACAGAAGCTTCCTGAGTTTGACTTTTATAGTGAAAACATGTCTGTGATGTTCCTCCAATTTAGTTTTCTGTTTGTTTTACAGGTGACATCCATTCCACAAAAAAAGACTGGTACCACCCCCACCAAAGAAGCTACAATGCCCCCATGCAGACATTCCTACCTCAAAATAACCCCCCTTCCTACCACCTCCTCCCCCACCCCGGGGGCAGCCAAAACAGCCACCACGGTTACCAGTATTCAGATCCAATGCATCAAGGATCATCTGGTGATCACACTAAAACATATCATGGGAGATCAGTGTCATATGATACAAACACTTCCGTAGGACTGACCGATGGTCACTCTTCTGACTGTGTGGTTTGACCCAGGACACTTCTGCAAAATTGATTTGCAAAAAGTGCTATATTGACTCCCAGTTGGAGGAAATTTGTTTTATTTTTAAATTTTTGAATAAGTCAAAGGTAATTCATACCTTTGATACCAGATTCTACAAAGAGAAACTCTTTTACATGACTGCCAAACTATTTACTTGAGAGAGTCCCAGAGTGAAATTCTCAGCTGATTTAGATAACAAATACTTTAGACAATTGAATTGGCTGTGAAATCTGAAGAGATCACTGAGAGAAGCTCTTTCAGCCTGTGAATTCAGAAACAAAGAATGCTTATAGACTCTGTCAACTCCACTTGATGCACTCAGCAATTGAAGAGGATGCCAGCAGCATTGTAAGTATATATAGGGTGAATTTAGATAATTACAGACTGTTAATCCTGAATGAAACTAAAAAAAAAAATCAAGTATCCATATTATTTTGTATCCATATTATTTAGAAAGATTTTTCATAACAGAAACTGTTTGAAATATTTACTTGATTTAAATGTGGTATATTTATAGGATCAAAATGCAGTAATGCATTAGTTGTAACTATCTTCATTCCCTTGTAATAAGTAAAGTGGACATTTTTTTTTAATGCTAACTGAACTACTTTTGAAAAAGGAAGAATGTGCTTTCATTAGCCAGGGAATTCATTTTGTTCTTGGTATATCCCATATCACTTTCTAGCACCCTCAATAATTGATCAATCTGTCATTCTAGGTCAGTGAAATATTATACAGAAGGTGTATAGTGTTTGTTCTCAATGTCCGCACCTCATCATTTATTTATGAATTTTAATAAGAACAGGTGTCCAAGATACAATGTATACATAGCTGTTAGATCCATGCATAAAGCACCTCCAATCAATAGACATCTCTCTTAATTAAGTTTATCTGGCATTTCACATTGTTGTGAATAAGAAGTACTGTCCAGGTTTTTTTTTTTTTTTTAAATCTTAAGTTTAAATAGTTCTAAAGTCATTTAGGTAGATTAGTAACCTCCTCCCCCTTTCAGTGCTTATTCTTGTCTGTCTACCTTCATTAATTTTGGGTACATGTATATCGTTAAGGAAGAGTGTGTTGGATTTTCAATACAAATGACTGCATTATAGATTATTGAAGTGTATCAGAAAGTTCATTAAATACTTTTTTGTATCTTTTTTCAGAATTCAGACTCACTGGCCTTAAAACCCGTAGCAGAGGAATCTTTCCTGTATAACTAGTAAATTTTTTTTTTTTTTTGAAGATCATAAATCTTCATTGACTTGTCAATTAAAGGGGAATAACCCTTGAAATATGATCTCAGTTTTCTAAAGGACAGACACAATACTTAGAAGTGCCAAACTTTTAATAATTCGTTTACTTTGTTGTATATTTAATGTAATGTGAAGAAAGTGATGATGCGAATGTGTACATCTGTATTCAATGAGAGCATTTCCTATGACATGATATGTATATATGTATAAAAATGTCACGTGTTTATATTCTATAGCTGATTGAATGAGTTTCAATGCGATAGGAAGTGTGTAACTGCAAAATCATGGCAGCATAATTAATGTTACGCATTTTATTAGAGTCTGCTTAGGTGATGATAATAATAAAATATTTCTAAAAACTCTGAATATTGTTTGATATTGTCAATATTTATAGGATTGAAAATAACATACAGGCAAAACGGAATATATTTTTGAAAAATCTATAGAAACTGGATTTTGAAGAAGTTACGAAAAATTTTATCCAATGCAACTTTATGACTGCATTAAACATGATGATGAAGACTAGAAATTGTGACAGCTTGAAACGGGATGATAAAGGCAAGCTCTCATGTTCACCCACCTACAAGTAAATAACCCCCCCCCCCCGGACTGTTAATACGACTAGGCTTTTAAAGACTAGCAAACTTAAGCTTTTCAAAAAAAGAAAATAAAATTCTAGAAGAAAGCTCCATTTCTTTGTAATTACCCCTTCTAATTGAGGGTGAGTTTTAAATTTTACATTGTAGGTAAACTAGTCTTGCATTCTGTTACCAAAATTTAATACATCTAACGTAATTAAAAACAATATTTTTAGACTAGAGAATTATTCTTTATTCAATAAGGGGGGGGGGGGGGTTGTTGTCTTACATCTCTTAACATCGAAATGGTAAAACAATAACTTGACCTGAGCGAACTGTTACAAAATTAAAAACAAGCTCATGTTATACCCTTTCAATTGAAATAATTTCGATTTCAGGTTAACGTGCCTTAAATACAATCGTTATATTAATTCATTTTTGAATAAAAAATATATGAATTTAGAGATTGGTATTCCTCTAATAGCGGAACAGGGAGGAGCGGGGGGGGGGGGGGGCTTTGACAGTGACTATGAGATTTATAAAAACACAGATTGTATTCTAGTGGGGGCAGCCCCCCCCCCCCCCGCTTTCTCGGGCCTCTTAAGTCTTGCAAGAGATTCGTTTTCTACATATTTTACAGATAATAGAGGCCCCAGAGGAATGAAAAACAGAAATCTACTCGCATTTAATTACCATCAAAGCGATGGACTTCCTTAGAATATCCGTAAATTATAGGATGGGGAAATGCCCATCTTCAGATATTAAGAGCTAACTCTTTGTAATCCTTCTAAATGACCCCACAAACTCTATCAAGTTCCTCCTCCGAGGATAGCAGCGGAATTTTAAAGCTCTTTTTCATGCGTTGCACTAGTACTTTTAATAGATGATATGACAATATAACATTGGAACATTTGCCTTTTTTTTTCTTTTTACAATACTAATAGCCAGCCACAGTTGGGTGTATATAATTGATGTAGTCCTTTGAACTTTCATTAAAAAACAAAAAGATTTACCAAATTTAATTAAGCATTACAAAATTTTATTAAAATTACCAATTTTTTATTTAAAAGAAAAAAAAATATTTACATTTTTCATAAAAGATCCCGAGAGAATCACTTACACTCACAAACCTACATACAGGAGCTGTTAAAACCTACATGTATAAAAAAAAAATATTTTTAAAAATGTTGATCAAAATAGAATACACGAGATCTTAACTCTAAGATTCCTTTGAATGAAAATTCTTTCATGGTAATATCCCCTTAAACTGAGGAGGCGTAATATTGAATTGAACATATTTTATTGCAATATATATACAACGGGATTGGGCACAAGTTCTTAAAACTTATTTCGCCCTCTCCCTACATGAAAAGTCTATAAAGTTTGAGTTAAATGTGTTACACAGTTTTAGAAATAAATTTGATAAACTCACAACATGAATTTGTAAACTGCAAGAAAATTTGTGATATGCAAATGCAATACATAAACAATTATAATTTATCATTTAAATCTGCCAGAGTGCTGAATATATGAATGCACAATGGAAAAAAGATATTCATTTTCAGCAACACTTAGTGAAGTACCCCCCACAGTGAAGTATGGGTGTCAACAATATGAACCTTATCAAATCTCAAAAACTTATCGAAAAATCTTTCCTGGCCTTAGTATAATTAGAACAAGAGGCGTAATATTGCAGATGCTACTATTTTTAATGTAGATCAACTTTTTACCCCAGACAATTTGTCAACTGTGTTTGAATGAAATATATTGTGGTTTTTATACTTTTTCAAAGAAAATGAAGGAGAGACGTCTATCCCTTCATTTTCATTCTTTTTTTTTTTTTAAATATCTATAAATGAATAGTTGGAATGTATTTTTATATATCGGTAGAGTGGCAATCGCTAAAAGTATAATAAATTGGAAATATCAGATATCAGTAATGTATGTGATATGCTAAGAATTCATATATTTTTGTCTTTAAAAAAATCACCGGGGGAGGGGGTGTGTAGTAGAGGTCGTTCAGTTGTGCACACCATCCGTACGTCAGGTGCCTGACCAGAAATTGTGTTTCTCAGTTTAGAAATCTATTCTATAAAAAGAAAAAGGGTAAAAAAAGGGTAAAAAGTATCTGCTTACACCTATATGACTGATTAGAATGTCGAGACAAGGTAGTGGCTCCTTTTCTACAGAAAAGAAAGAGGAAAAATAACTACCCGCGACGGGACTCGAACCCGCAATCCCCGGCTTAGGAGGCCGGTGCCTTATCCATTGGGCCACGCGGGCGTTGGAATTCCTGCGCGTAGATTATGTGGTTTTAAATACTTACTGAATATGCCACTTGAAACCCTTATCGTCTGTCAACCGTAGCCAAGAATTTACACAAAAGGAGTTTACTTTAACGCGGGAATTGAATCTAATCTTTCTCTAAGTATTTAAACAGCGTAAAAAGCAAACTAAAAACTTTCTTTGCACTGAAATTGATTTATCTCAAATAAATGAAGCAATACATTTTTAAAATTGCACTTTAATTCTTATTAAGTAATTGAAAAAGGAATATTCAGTTTTTTTATTATTAAATTTGATTTTGAATTCTTCTAACGTAACAATCACGAAAGTCTAACGGATTTGTTCATCTAAATTGTAGTGTAGCGCAAACGAAATTAATTGCCCGTGACCCAACAGGGAAAACACCAAAGAAAAATACCTTGCACATGAGGATAAATATTTAACAACTCATCCTAGAATAAAACAAAATAAATATCCGCCGACCCACCAAGACTGGATGATGAAAAAAACAAGGTGCACGGCGTCAGATGCAGAAGGATTAGGCATTATGTTGGAACTTTTTGACATTTATTCGTTCGCCGTGAATTTCAAGTGAAGCGATAGCTGCTGGAAGGAAAATGATATAACGAACAGTAGTAAAAAGTTTAAATTTCCGTTTGTCATTTAAGTTGTACATGAGAGAGAGAGAGAGAGAGAGAGAGAGAGAATGGGGATACAGAAGGATTAGGCATAATGTTGGAACTTTTTGACATTTATTCGTTCGCCGTGAATTTCAAGTGAAGCGATAGCTGCTGGAAGGAAAAGTTACATAACGAACAGTAGTAAAAAGTTTAAATTTCCGTTTGTCATTGATGGTGTACATGAGAGAGAGAGAAAGAGAGAGAGAAAGAGAAACTTCCGTTTGGAACATCTGTTACATTGCAGTTTGTCACTTTCGATAACTCACCACACAGCATGGGGCATTAAAGTATGTTTTCCTACCTGCAAATTAACGCCAAGTTGGCAATCACAAACGGTAATTTTCGGACATTTTCATCTTGGGTTGCGGTCATTCCATGCCAAAGATGGGTCATTAGATCGAAAGATAGGGCAATTGCACAGTATCAAGTCACTAAAAATTGGTAGCAGAAGCAGAGTCCTTTGAATTTATTGTATATACTGTATCTTAATTGCTAGTGCTTCGCCTTTTTCACGTCTATTCGGTATCCTAATTGTGGTTTTTATACTTTTTCAAAGAAAATGAAAGAGAAACGTCTATCCCTTCATGTTTAACCTTATTTTTAACAGAGTTCAATAAAGCATGTGATTTTATGACTATATTTAAATTCAATTTCACAAATTTGATCTGATTGCGGTCGCGGGTTTGTGTATTTATCTAAAACACAGGCACGCGAAAGAAACTCATATATTTAGATTAAATTTCACATGAAAATGTTGTTTTTCATTATTTTATTAATAAAAATGATTTTTTTTTTTAAATTATAAGTGACGCTGAATGCTCTCTCTCTCTCGGCTTCCCTTGTTTAATTTTAAATCTTATAATCGGAGACACCACAGTGACAGTAATCTTATAAACGCTTTGTTCGTGGGCTCAACTCTTCACCCACAGCCGGACATTATGAATAAGACACTAGATTAGAGAAAAGCCATTGAAAATTAATGCAAAATTGTCCCCATCTGTCATTTCAATTTAAAAAAAATTAGATGGCTATTTAGAAAAAAGTACAAAAGTGCACACAATGATAAACATCATCATTATTTTTTTTTTCAATATTAAATTTTTCAAATAAAACATATTAAGTCAAATTTCTGTCGATTTATGCATAGATTTTCAGAGTCCGAGGGAAAATTACAATGTAATGCATCATTAAATCGAGGATTTCTGCAGGCCTTTTACATAGAATCTGTAATTTGAGATTAAGGTGTATAGTTAGAAAAAAATGAAAGTTGAATAAATGTTTGATAGTGTCAAGTTTTGATTAATAATATTCAGAAATATATTCATGAATTCTTCAGAAATTTGAGCGGACGAAAGCCCATGGCCATTTTAGGACTTACAAACCGGAATATGACCTTTTTAGAATGGGCTAGATTTCGGAAGATAAGTAGAAAATTCGTAAATTTTATCGCTATATCGCTTGGCTGATCCATATGACCAGGAGTTATGGATTTTATTATCTTTTATCGACGAGATTTATTATAAAGCAACTATTGGGAAAAGGGGGACAACTCTAACTTGCTTAGCTGAGAGAGAAGCCATGTTTCTATCGAGTATAAATCGATATAAACACATGAATTAATTTTAAAAAAAAGTAGAAATAACATTTTCGTTTGTTTGTTTGTTTGTTTGTTTTTTATTTTTCATTTTTAAAATTTTTTTTTCGTTTTGTTTTGGGAAATGAAGACTTGAAACTGATAAAAATTAAAGGACAGAAAAAACGATTTTAACTCTTGATCTGTCCAGGGACGTATATACTAACTAGTATATAGGTCCCTGATCTGTCAAAAATTGAGTCGACTGACGAAATACATTTCCAGCTTCGCTGACTACCACTCGATAAATTTAGTTTCTTCCATATATTCTTTTAAATATACGAGATCCCGCCATACTTTTATGCATGGTGACCTTCACATATGCGTCCGTGTTTCTATGAACAACTACCATTTCCAAAAGGATAAAAGTCTGACCATGACACTTTATGTCTTTAATGTAATTTTCAATATATAAATTTAATGTATTATTCAAAACTCATACATAACTATTGTGATATGGTTCTCGATTTCCCGCGGTTTGTTAGAGGAAGAACATTAAGCACACAGCACTTCACATGTTTGGGGGGGGGGCAATTATATATTATTTGGTGGAGGGTGTGTCTCTCGTACAATACGTCCACATAACCCCATCAAGCATGCCAAGTGGACAGTAGACGAAGAGAAAGGGACATTTCATTTAATCCTCCACCCGCCGACCTGACCACAATACTAACACCACGTAACACTGGACATCAATCACTTTCCGTGTTAGAAATAGAGGAAATTTCTGACCCATTTGTAAACAAGTATTGAATAAGAACTTAACGGTTTCACACTTGGAATAACATTCATAAAAATAAAGTTTGGATAATCAGGATTTCCGATTTAAAATTCTGCAAATAATAAACAGAGCAGGCTTAGAGTTGGTCAATCTGAGCGGCTCGCTACTTGAAATACTTCACACAATGGCCGCGTTAGGATGATAGGTGGAATAAGACTGACTTATAAAAGGAAACGCTTGCAGTACTTGATAACTTAAGACCTTTAAGATTTTTTTAATTCAGTTCTTTAGTAGGGCCTTGTATCGTTAAGAAGATTTTGAATTAAATTGAAAATTTTCCAATCCTGCTGTGTTATAGGTTGTAATTACTGTGTATTACTCAATATATACAAACAAGGAAACTTAACGTTCCTATAATCACACATAAAACAGTGGAGACACTTAGAAACCCCTCATATTTAGATAGGGAGACAATAATCTTTCAAAATATTTTACTTAGAAAATTTGTGTGAGAATTGCAATCATTCCTTCTGCTTCTGAATCTCTTCATAAAAACATGCCAGTGTATATATATGTTAAAAGAAATCAATAAACACATTTTATACTTCTTTTCATAATTTTATTATTGTAATCTTTTTTTGTATAAAAATATATTGCTGCTTATAGCAAAATAATAACAATATACAAGGAAAAAACAGTTAAATGCATTACAGTCCAATATTCTGGACCAACAACAAATGCTGCCAACAGTTTTGTTGCAGAGACAATGTAACAAGGAATATTTTTACAGTTCTAGATTATGAAATACATTGTGCCCTATTCCTTATTGGATATGATATGATTTGAAGGTATTTTAAAGTGAACAAAAATTAAGTATTCATTTTATGTGTTGATTTAATACAAAATCTGTTCCAATTAACATCCAAAATCTGAAGAAAAGGAACTTTACATTATAGAGATCATCTTTGTATATAAATTGTGCACAGTAAAGTATATATTCAAATATAATGTTGCACCCATACTGATTTTCTACTTGAGACCATAAATGCATTTTGAACAAGATATGTGTAATATAACATAACACAAACATTATGCACATTGATAACATATTCAAGTAAAATATTGCATAACAAAAATAAATCTGGATAAACAAGTCTTCTGTTTTTGTGTAGCACTGTTTTTCAGACAGAGTTTGTTCTGAGGAAGGACATCCTGACTAGAATTAGGAACACATGAGACATTAAGGAGACACTTTCCCCATCATACAAACACATCTGGCACCTTCTGAAGACGTACTTCTACAGGATCTTCCTCATCTTCATCAATGGTGTAGCTGCCAGATGTAGTCGTGTCATCATCATTATAGCCTGTAACAACACTGTCTATTGTCTCGTCCACACTCCGGGCCGTGTATAATCCACTAGAAAAATGTCCGTAAGATGGAATGGATGATGTAGGACTTACAGAAGTCTTAGGTTGATAAAATGTGCGTACATGGACAGGAAGGTGATGGGAGGTGTCCCCCATCATTTTGGAATACTGCTGTAGTTCCATCACGTTTTCATAAAGAGGGGGTGGCTGGGAGTATGAAAGATTTTGATAGCGAACATTGTTGCTCAGGTGTGGGGGTGTTCCTCTTCTGCCGTTCTGGGAGGGGCCAAACTTATTACGGAGATCATCTGAAAGAGATAATTCAAAATCCTCAATAATGTTATTCTCCAAAGTCATCAAAATTAACACAATATAATGACAATTCTTTAAGTTGAATTAATTATTAAACTTATAAATTATAGATTCAATAATTGAAACTCAATCAATGTAAATTTATTCACATAATAATTAAGCCTTTCTTTTTATGCAAAAATCTATAATTAAGAACATCTCAATAGGGTTGTCAAGACTTCCACCATTTTTATTTGGAAATTAATTCATCTCTAATTTTATTGCTTTATATTAATTCTCCTGAACATTTCAAAAGGGTTGTCAAGACTTCCACCATTTTCAACTGTCAATTTATATTAATTCTCAGGACCAATTGTATATTCCGGCGTGATTCCCAAAGTTTAAATTCTTGCAAAGTTCATGAAAATACTTGTACCTATCTCTCATTGTAAAATAACATATATTTGTAAATTATTGAAGAAATCCACAAACCAAAATTTAATATTGGTGGATAAAATTTTGTCACTTTGTATTAAATAAGTTTGAATAATAATTACAAAATTATCAAACTTCAGGTTGTGGTTAGATGAGCTTTACTTTTGATATCAATCTCACTTTTCCTATAAATTCACTATAAATTCCTATTGTAAAAGTGAGACTGGGTTCAAAAGTGAGCTCATCTAAGTTTTATGCTCCCAGAGCCTAAGAGTCAGAAAACTTAGATGAGGCCACTTTTGATGTCAGTCTCACTTTTTCACAGTAAATTCCTTTTGTAAAGGCAAGATTTAGATACAAAACTGAGCTGACAAGGTTTTATGACCTCAGAGCCAGGGTATTTTAAAGGTCACACAGATCAGCATCAACAAAGCATACATTACTTGCATCACTGTCTGTGTACATCAATGAGAGACTTTATAAAGCGCCCCCTACCTGTATGATGAGAGTGAGACATCGTGCTTCTTGTCTCCCCTTCACTGATCCCTACACCACTGTCTGACTGAATTGTCTCCCCTGACGTGTCACTGTGATTGTCTGGTCTCTCTTTGTTATACTGAAATATACAGAGAATCATAAGTACTTTTGTCATTGATAAAAGGTTCAAGAACAGAGATTTCAATGTAACCTCTTACTATGATCTTTTAATAATAAATACATATACTAGTATTCCTATAATAGATATTTAAGTAGCCATCAGTGAAGAATCAATGTAAATCAATAATCAAAAATAAACTGTTAGATATTCAAGACTTTAATACAATATTGGGTGTCTAACAATGTACTACGAGACTCTTCCGGTATCTTGGTTGACTGTACTCGGAATAGAACCTGACACCATAAACTAATGGCCTGGAAAATTCTGCTCCAAAAGAGGACTCAAACTCTGATAATTTGATAAAAAACAAGACATTGCGTCGTAATTGCATCCACATGAATTTCAGATGCACTGAAAAACTAAATGGGAAGTCATTTTCCAGATCATGGCAGATAAATTCAACCTGAAATCTTGTGAAAAAGCTGTGTAACCGTGCAGATCCAAACAATTGTTCTTTTTCTCATTATCTGCTTAATGTTTGCGATTGATCAGGAGGCAAATAAAGCAGATAATAAAGGACTGTTTATACATATCAGCGTAGAATCTCCTCCCCAGTTAATCACTCATTATAACTGGTGTCTTTGTTTCAAGACAGAAACAATGTAACCACATTAAGACAAGTTCAGATTTTCTTGTGTTTTTTCTGACACTCAATCACAGAAAAAAATGGGGACAGCCTCCAACAAAAAAAACCCTTCTGTTTGTCAAAAGAAAACAGAACCTTTCAAACAGGTGTCAAATTTCACTGTTTACCTTTTCTTAAGATATAAATCAACGGAACCACTTTAAACAAGTAAACCCCCAAACAAACCACCCAAAAAGTTGAATTGTCACTCCAAAAACACAAAGCATTAGTCTCACAGGACCGTTATCAAGATTCTTGCCAAAGATGTATTGTAGAGAGCTTTATACTGAGGAAAAGAAAGAGTGACTACTGAATTATTATTCCCTGATAATGATTTCCAGTCTTGTAATAGTGTATAGTGGTGGAAAGATCTAGGCACTGATTGAATGAGTAAGCAGTTCAGGTCATGAAAATCAAATCTGATGAATTTTTACCTTCCCCTAAATATTGTATGTACTTGTCAGATCCTATTTCAATTATCTTTTTTTCCCCCTAACTTATTCTGAATCATATGTACATATGTAGCAAAATAATTCTCTTTTCTCACAAGTTTCATTTCTCTTCTACATATATGATGTGCATTTGGTGTTCAATGGAGGTGGTTAATGCCTGTGCGAAAATGTCCTGTCTTCCAATTTTATTCTGAATTGTATTTAAATTCACTAATTCTTCCTGAGGTTCACTATTGACTTTGCCATCACCTTGTGTATGTGTCTGTCTGTTATTTACCTCTGAGCTATGTACTGGCCACTGCTTGTCATGTGTCTGGACCAGTTTCTGGTGAAGCCTAATGGAGGCCATTCTGTTCAACTCAGACTGTCGGGCCTCGTCATTTGGCGATTCACTTCTGGTGTGTTTGTCCATATTGACTGTAGGGTCTGACAACTACAAAATAAAATTTAATATATTTAACTTGAACTCTATAATCACATTTGGTCAATACTGAACTGTTACTGATCGTTGATTCAACCTTGACAAGTTCTCCTGAAGAAAAAAAAATTGTCAAATTATATATAGAAAGTCAAAACAGTGAAAACACCCCCTGGATATAAACTGTCACCACATCTTCCAACATGTAGAATTAAATCTTGCAGTTCAATTGTAGAACAAATCATGGTATAAAGATCAATTTTTGTACATAAATATTTGAAATTATATTTTCACCCCAAAGCCCAACATATGTGTTAATAAAAACAATATCATGAAAAAAATTTAATTTTCAATATTTATGTTTTGATTTTTCCATTAGACACTTTAAAAGACTCCAATGAACTTAACATGTTAATCTTGGAACCCCATTTAAATCTATGTCCAGTGCTTCTGTACACCCAGGAGGTGTCTTAAACTTGAGTTGACTGACATCTGAGTTTTTCAACAACAGTTCAAGTACTCTTGATTTGCAAACCTTTCCAAATAATTAGGCATATTAAAGAGGCAAAAAAATAATAGAACTAAAAAGATGTCACTTCTGGATATAGACTTGTTACATATTCTTACACAGAAAATGAGATCCTACTGTGAACATAGATTATATCCCCCTCATATTAGACCTTCTTTTAATTGTTCTTTCAATATGACAAGCTCTTTGTAATGGTCCCCACTTAAGCAGATTATTGCTGGTAAACAGAGGGGATCACATACAATGTTTTTATTCATCTGGTCAAATTATCAATCTCAACCATTTCAAATCTAGAAATGAGGGATTAAATTTGTTTTTGTCCTAATTACTAGTAAGGAGAGAGACAGAGATGTTCATTAAATAGCAAATCTTTCTCTCCCTCACAGATTCTCAATAGCAGGCCTACATGTCAAAATATAAAGTATTCACATAAACATGACAATGAACTTTTTTTTCAAAACCTCTGGGTAAAAACATTTAAGTGGTATGCTTCAGTATATTCAAAATATAACATTTTCTGAGAAATTTCTACTCAACAAAAGTAAGTCAATAGGTTAAAATAGTTTGATATGTAATTTTAAATTGTTCCATTGATGATTTTTGATTTAATTTTTTTTTTCATTTAAAAAAAGATATTTTTGAAAAATCTAGTGCACAATACAACACATTTTTCTTCACTACATAATATGATTTAAAATTGAAAAATGTATTTAAAAAAAAGATTTATATTGCTTCTTGTAAATAGAAAATACTGAAAAATTACAAACATCATCTGTATGTGATAATATTTGAGAGTGCTCTATACAATTGTATATACGAAATGAAATTCATTTGAATTCACACAATTTTTTAGTATAAAATTATAATTCAGTGAGCAGATAAATTCAAGAGCTCTATGTAAACTCACTGTCCCTGACAGATTTGGAAATTTCTTACACAAGTTTTCCCACTAGCCCTTAACAACTGATCCCAATCTCAAAACATCTGATGACTCTCCATGATAAAAATCCAAACTGCAAATTATTCACCTGCTTTCTGTCTCGATTTTTTTGGTTAAAAATTCATTATCTCTGGTTGGTTTTACAATTAAAATTGAAATTCTTTTTTCCATGTTTATGAACACTGTCACATTATACAGACCAGAGATAGTGAAATTCAACACTTGGTTGCTTTTATTTGCATTTTGCGGCCATTTCATACACTGTTGAATCTAGGATTAATATTCCCTGATAAAATACATGTTCTGGGTGTTAAACAGTGTCACTTTTTTCTGTGCCTTTGGGATCTAGCGGTTCATTAGGGATGTCAATTTTATCAAGTCTGTCTGGGTGTTACTTGTATTTCTGAATTACACCAGATCACCTAATCTACAAATTAGTATAGACCTTAGGATACACATATGCTTTTTATAGACAGAATTCAGTCTTGAACAAAAACTTTGGAAACTTTTTTCCCTCCATTATTTGAGCAAGAAATGTTAAAAAAAGTAAAAATTCTTGCTTGTCTGTGGTAACTGGTTGTTGTCAATTTTTAAATTTAATGTTTACCCAATCACAGAGTTAATCTAGAGATAAGTATTCTGTTTGCCAATTATCCATTTTGTTAGGGGTAGCTAGTTTACTTAAGATCAATCTTACATCAGACTTATCAGTTTTACTGTGTCAACAGACCTGCACACAGTAATAGGGGTACCACTGATCACAAGAAGCAGATTGTCTTCCTTACGTTCAACAAAGAGTTCTGTGTTCTCCCTGAATTGTTTGTTCCCAAAAGTTTTTGAACATCAGGTGTGATTTGTGATTTTTGTAAGCTAACAACTTTAGTTGGCGACAGTTAGAAGGGAGGAGACTGCTCTTTATAGGGGCTCCCTCTTATAACCATTCATTGTTAAATTCAATATTCCAATGGTTTGAGAGCCAGAGTTTTATAGAATTTTTTTCAAAGACTTGTTGATGTGTGTAACTTTTCTGAATTTTCATTTCATACCCCTAGCTGACTTTTACGATTCTGACTGTAGACAGTGTCTCGTAATAATTGTATACCGCCTGTTAGAGAAACATTTCACAATGTGAAATCAATAATCACATTCGGTGTCCACAAATTGATTTCTTGACATGTGAAAAGGAAATTAATAATAATAACAGAGAACTACCAGGGATCTGCCCAATAATTTACAAACAGGTCGGAAAAATAATTAAGAGCACAAAATGTTACTTTAAAGTGCAGAAATAACTTGCCTTATATTTATGATGACCCCCCATGTATGTTCAGACCTTAAATTCTTGATTGGCTTCAAATTTCTTTAGAAAAACTTAGCATAAAGGTACAACGGTTGAAATGTTAAAATGATATCTTTTTTTTTTAAAACTACAGATGATTTACCTTTTGTGGAATGTGGAGTTTTGAAAATGAACAAAAATATTTAGATCAAAGTTTGAACAACCCTTGCCAAATGTTTGAATTATTTTTTTCATTCATGATAAAGAAAAGATAGTGTAACAGCTTCTCAGCTTTTTACCTGATACATATTCTGGTGGTTTCTTCTTCCTCCCTCATCTGTTTCATCGCTGTAAAACATGCCCACATTTTGTCCTGGGGCAACATATTTCGGAGGATCAACATAAACTCTGGGACATGAATTTGTATTTGCTTTAGCCTCAGTCTGTGCATTTAATTCCTTTCGTTTCAGGTCCCTGCGTCTCACAAAAAATATTGTAAGAAGAATGGAGGCTGACAGAACAAGTGTGACAACCACAACTGCTACCACAATTCTCATGTTGAGCTCATCATCTCCTGTGGTGTGCGTCATCCCAGATGTGGTGGCATTTGTTTTCACCACCACCAAATGTAAATTCTCATACTTAGTAAGAGGCTTCACTCCTTTGTCTGACACTGCAATCGTGAGGAAGTAGCTGGCAATATGTCTAGGATGCATGGTTCTGGCCACAATAACTTCCCCAGTCAAACTATTAATATTGAAAATGTCTGAATCATTTCTTTTGGCAATAGAATACACCAATGTTTTATTTTCTCCCTCATCTATGTCAAAAGCTTGAATCTGAGCCACTATCGTATTCAGTGCCAAGTTCACGGATACCTTCACTGTGTCATTGGAGGCATTAGGGAACACTATGATTGGTTCATTGTCATTGGCATCCGTGATATCCACTTGAATCACCACAGAATTTCTATTGGGAGGGTTTCCATGATCTGAGGCAATGGCCGTAAATATGTATCGATCCTTCTCTTCTCTATTGAGATTCCCATTGACCAGGATGGTGCCATTGGGGGCCAGGAAGAAGGGGATCTCTGAATGCTTTGGAAGGGAGAATGATACTTTTCCATTGTCTCCTGAATCTTTGTCAGTGGCTGTCAGCTGAAGAACAAATGTGTCAAAAGGCACATTCTCTTGGACAGAGGCTTTGAACTGATTTTGAGTGAATTCTGGAAAGTTGTCATTTTTATCCTCAATATTTACCACAATGGTAGCAGTGGAGGAAAGTGGGGGATCTCCAGAATCAACAGCATATACACGGAAGCGATACTGAGACACAGACTCTCTATCATAAACCTTGTTAGCACGGATTGTCCCTGTGTCTTCATCAACACGGAAATCAGCACCAGCATCACCGTGAAGTTTATAATGAATTCTAGCATTGTTACCTAGGTCATTGTCAGTGGCTAAAATCTGAATGATGGCATCTCCAGGATTGTTACCCTCTGGAATCTTAGCATGATATTCATTCTGAGAAAATCGGGGTTCTTGGTCATTTTCATCTGTGACTTTCACTCGAAAACTTGCATTACAGCTAAGAGGTGGAGAACCAATATCTTGACATGTAATGATCACAAAATGTTCATCCTGGGCCTCACGATCCATTGGTTTATCCACAGTCACCTTATATTCCTGAACCTCAAGTTTCTGAAGTGTGAACTGATTGTTGCTGATGTTGCAACTGACAATTCCATTAGCCCCAGCATCATTATCAATCACTCGGATATGGGCAACCACAGCACCACGGTTTGCATATTCAGACACTTGGGCATGATCCGTATCAGTCAGCAAGTTGATTTTAATTTCCGGAGGATTGTTACCCGAGTCTTGTACATAAACATTCACAATAGCCTGGGTGGGGTAGGGTTGCTCCCCTTTGTCATAAGCTTCAACAATCAGTCTGTACTTCTCACTAGGTTCATAGATCAACTGTTTAGCAATTTTAAGTTCCCCAGTATTTTCATTTACAAAAAATAGTCCTTGAAGTTTTTCAGGTTGGTTAGTGCTGATTTTATATAAAATTTCACCATTTTTACCAATATCTTTGTCAGTAGCTCTTAATTGAAGAATGGTGGTATTCACAGCAATTTCTTCCTTGACAGTCACATTGTAGATGGATTTATCAAACACTGGGTTATTATCATTAATATCACCTATAGTAACGTTAACTCTCATCATGCCAACCTTGGGAGGAGACCCACCATCATAAGCCAGAATTTGAATGTCATAATGACTTGTTTCTTCTCGGTCCAAAGATCGAATGACCTTCAATTTCACTGAAAGACTGTCATCGAGGTTTCTGAAGAAAATGACATCAAATGGAGTTCCTTTTGGCCTAACTTCGTATCTTTTAACAGAGTACTCTTCGCTATCTTGGTCAATAGCTCCATCAATGACAAAACTCTTGTTAACCTTAGCACCTTCAGAAATTCTGAGATTAGTGGAAGAGTTTGGAAATGCTGGTGTTTTATCATTAATATCTAGAAGATTTACCATGATGATGATTTTTTCAAAAAATGCTGCAATTTCGGACTGAACTGCTATTTCTAATGGAATTGTGCAGTCTTCTTTGTATGGACAAATTTTTTCTCTGTCTAAATTCATAGCTGTTTTGAAATCACTAGTTTCAGGATCTATGGCAAAATAATGAGGTGGCTGACTTAAAAACGAGTACTTCAGCTTATCCGTGTGACTATCATTATGAAATTCTCCAAGTTTGGCATCAATGAAAATGTTCCCCAATGTCACATTAGCCCCCTGTTCTTCTGTGATATTATACACAATATCAACACTTCCACAACAAGTCACGAAGATCAACAGAATCCACAAGTTTCTCAGCATTGAGCCCATTGTGGTTCCGTTTTGTCAAGCAACCTCTAGCAACAATGTGTCAGGTACTTGATTTTTCTCCATTAAAATTAAGATTTCCTACTTTCTGTTGAGCACGATCCACTCAAGTCCCGGCACCCTGAAGCAAGAAAATAACACAATCTGTTCAATATTGACACTTGTATTTATATCTAAATCATAAAAGACTTTGTTGAAATTAAATACCGCAATGATAACAGAGACATTGATAAGACTTCTAGTAATTAAACTCCAATATTTAAATCAAACATTGGTATTAAAAAGATCCGATTGAGAGACTGCAAAGTATTCTTGAAATAATTATCCCAATCAGTTATGGAAAATTTCCTTCACAATGCAAGAAAAATATTCTGATTAGCCCTTAGCTTAAACTTATTTTATATACACACCAAAACAATACACTGACACCAGCAATGAAAAGCAATGAAATTTGTCTCCTCCATTTCATATTTGAAATAGAAAGATCAAGTTGATATAACCTATATATTTCAAACAACTTTTAATCTTTTTTAAAATCAGTGTGTATTTTTTATTTGCCACATGAAGTGTAAAATTTTCTTTCTATCAACTGCCAGAGGCTAAGAATTAATAGAATTTAAGATTTTTGTGAAAAAGAAAAAAAAATTATTATAAAGTAACATTACTTCTCAAAATCTGATATACTGCTACATATTTACCGGTATATTTCGTATCTTGAGGTTTTTCTTACATGCATGAAAAGATAAGATTGCAAATCTTTCTTAATATTTTTCCTCTTATGAACTGTAGTTTTATATTCTCCGTGTTAACAGAAATATGAAGACAGAAAGTTAATTTCTACATGATACATCAAACCTTGCTGGACTATACATAATCTTTCCTAACAGTATCAGATACTGACCACCTACTAAATGTAATGTTATACAGAGAGTGGCCAAAGCCTGGAAAATGTAACACTTGTGACCAAGAAACTTATGACGATACCTGATAACTTTACACATGCCCCTAAAGCACTGGCCAAAAGGATAAAACTGGTCTAATTATTTCTGCTTAACGTATTGTTAATGCTCTTAAATAACCCAGATAATTCTAATTTGTAATTGTTTCAAAGACAAAAAATTCAATCTTACCTATATCATTTTGTAGTCCTATTCCCAAAATTATTTTGTTAAATAGTACACATGAAAAAGAACAGAAATGAAATCTCTTTCTACATTTGATACTTATTCTCATTATTTGAAAACTAACATAATAAACCTGGATTTCCAAACCATGAAGCAGATTAGAGTCAAGATCAATAGAACTTAGCTCCACCCACTTCTGCTAACTAGCCAATCATACCCCTGCATTATCAACAGGTTAATCTATCAATCATGTGTATTTTACTCTCTTAGTTTTTTTTTTATTCTACACAAACAATAAGCCTCACCTTGTGGGCTATCATCAAAAGCACCCTTGTGTTGGGGTCTGCTAATGAATGGTTTAATTCCTTTCTATGATGACCGTCACAAACTTCTCCTACAGAGGGTTGTGGTCACACTCAGGCTCTAAAATATTAATTGCTTGTTTGTTAGTAATTTTCACTTTATAGTATGCATGAAATCTACCTTCACAGTTTGGTAATACCACACTGATAATCTAATATTTTTTGTTCACCTAGGCCTCATGCAGGTGGGATTCCTTAAATTTATGGGAAAATTTAATATTTCTTTTGTATATGTTGTTTTCCAAAATTTGAACAGTTCTCAAATTTTAATTTATGAAATGAGTCTAATGTTTCCTTCCTTTCTCAAAATTAATATATGAAATGAATTAATATAAGAAATATCATTTAGGCCTATTTTTTTTTCCATGAAAAGATACAGGGAAGCATGTATACAAATTTTCATGTGAACAAAAAAATGTATTCATAAAAAAATAAAAATGCTAAAAAACTAAAGCAACCTAAGCACTAATACAAATTAGGCATTGAAAAGTCAAAGCTTCCAGAAGTCCAATTAACCAAAATTTAAAGTGTTTGCTATGCCATTACTGAAAGTGTAAATATAATCAGAACTTTTATTGAAAGAGTGTCACTCCATGAGGGAAATGAAGGACCTACTTTAATGAAATAAATAAATCAATTTACTTATAAGCAGGTAAACAAAAACAGCCTTTTATAAATTTAATTGAATTAAACTGTTTAAATACAATTTCATGAAAGTCAGCATTCATGGCCACATTAAAAGCCATTTTACTTGCTAAAATGAGCAAGAAGGACATTTCAGACCATTCTGTTCATGACTTGACACCTTCAATGTGAGGGCAATCTATCAGGTACAATAAAACTGATGAGCATTACAGAAACTGTGACATATGAATGGGAATAAGTAAACTCTTAAATCATTGTTTGTAGTCTTTGGACATCCAGGTGGCTCATAGTTTTCACTGATTACATACGTGTTGATCTTTGAAAATAAAAAAAAGTCTGGCCCAAGGTTATTTCTACTCTTGAACTGGACACCTGAATAATGGTAAATTCTTGAGGTCAGGTGTGAAAGATAAATTCTTCAGTTTTGGTGGAAAAAAAGGCAAAGAAAAACTGAGATAATGAAGAACAAATTGAGATATAGAACAGCTGTCCCAAATATTGAATTCCAGCAGTTAAACTTCAACACCCCACCACCACACAGATCATTGAGACTTTTGACACAAAACAAAACCAAAAAAAAAAAAAATGAAAAAAAAAAAATGGTGCCATTCTGCAAAAATCAATATCAAACCATTTTTTTTTTTAAATAGCTTACATCTTCAGAAGAAAATAATCAAAATTTAATCCATTTGCCCCTCAATATTTCTTGTTGAGCCATTATGTGTAGCTCATATGAACAGGACAATAAAATAATCAAAGACACTCCAAACCATAAAATCTTTTAATAACTTGCAAAAGATACAAATTCAGAAGAATACAAAAGCAGAAAATGGTCATAAAAGAAGGGAGACTTTCCATCAAATCACTAAATTACAGCTGGAATTGGCTACATTTTCAACTTTTCACCTCACAGAGCATATTCAACAGATGAAAAGAAATGTCCTTAAAAATTCAATTTAACTTTCCCCTTCAATGGAGCAAAAATTGTCCGAGTCGCTTTCTTTTTCGATGCTTGTTTGTCCGTCAACATTACACAAACAGACATAAGACCTTGAAAAATGCTTTTGCTTGGCTCATCCCCAATGAGAATAGAACACAAAAAAATGTTTTCTGCCACGGAAACTACCTATTAGTCATCTGGTTAAGGTTTTAATCTGTATCATTCATGCAGTGTAAATCTTTTAATGCGAAGGTATAGGAAAAGCTGCTAATCTAGATGTGCGGAATTATAGCCGTGAACAATTCCTTCTATCCAGACAAAGGCCAACTCTACCAAAAAATCACCTCGATATCAGATAGGGTGACAAAAATTCAATAAAGCAGTGCCACATACAAAAATAACATTTATAAGATTTTGTGATATGCTCCAACATTGTTCAAGCCTACTCAAAGACAACCTATAAAATGATCACAGTTTTTTTAAAGCACACAGGTCACATACTAAAGTTCAAATTTTCAGTTCACTGTATTCTAGCAAGTATTGTCTTTAAAAAAATTAACAATATCCTTGCTAATAAACCTGCCTTGTTTAAATGACTTCTAAATAAAGCAGAGTGTCACGAAAAGAAGAGACACATGAAGAGGAAATCAACAAGGATTCACTACAGACTAAAATTCTTAGAGATGCCACAATGCAATCCAAATCCATTCAAAGACAATGTCCCCCCATTATTATGAAATATTCTACTCCTTATTTGGAAAAGCAAAGGGAAATCATAATGACTTAGTCAACACAAGATTAGTGGTTTTCTCTCAAAGTCAAATTGCTGGAAAATAAGCTCATCATTAGAAGGATAATGCATAATCCTTTGTACTTGACCAGTCTCACCTATAATAACGATTAAGTAATATATACCTAGATGAACACCTTGTTGTATATGCAGGTAAGTTCATGACATTCATACAGTTTACTTTCTACTTTTTCCCCCCAAGAGGTATAGGAGAATTAAGCAGGAATAATTCACTTTTCTCACAATCTTTCTTAAGAAATCTCTATCAGGGACTATTTGCAGCTTCTGATTTCCCTATTTAAGTGTGCATAAGCCTCTAGCTTGACAAATGCACACAGTAGAGGTCTTCTTGTATTGACAAATGGTTTATACAATTATTTTTTTTAAGCTTATCATGGCAAGGTGAATCATTTGTCAGCAATGCAGTCAGCTCCTCAGCTTTTAACACACTCTGAACAGAGTCAATTCTTTATCAAGAAGTGATGTAATAGTAGTCTACCCTTCATAGAAAAGTCGTACTTCCCTAGCAACCCCTATCCTACAATCACCCAGAATCAATATCAGGAACTAAATATCACAGACCAATGCCGCAAGTGAAACAATGGACAGGTAATCGAGACTGGTCAGAGAAAGTGATGGCCCCTCAGTCCCTCCCTGTGACAAGAATTCCCCCTTGATAAGACCTGTCAGTATGAAGTCCCTCTCCTTAGCGTCCTCTACCTTGGCCATGGAGACCAGGAGCCACATGAATCGTCAATCCATCCACTTCCTAATAATCAGCTGATTGCTAGTGTGAAATGTACACTGTAAACAAAGGTATCTTACAAGTGGCTACTGATACAGATGTTTACTGACCATGGCCTGTCAAATTAATTAAGATGTCTCATAAATTGACCCAGAAAAATTTCATGAACTTTCACTCTATGGAATTCAATTAAACCTTTGCCCTATATTTCCATCATTTAACTTTTAAATAAAGTAACCATTTCAAAGGAGGATTTACTTAATTTATTTACATGTGTTGCTAAGCATAAATGAAGAATTCAATACACTACTTCAACTTCAAACCCAGAAATATAATGGACTTCATAGGAATGATACACAGTAACCCAAGCTTATTATCGCAATCAGGTGCCCTCTATCTAACAACAAACAAAAGATTGGACAATAATTCCTTTAAGCAAACTTTTCATTTTCTGAGATAGACTTCATTCCACTAGTAATTCCTGCATTATCTTTGGTACATGGACAATGTATGGGTTTTCTGGAATCCTAATTCATGGTATCGACCATCCCTATTGTTTTAACACACTAAGCAAGGTGGGAGAGGGCAAGCTAAGCTGACATGAGCCCTCTGTTTGTTCTTAGACAAATCCTGTTTGATCCTTTGCCTCGTAAGAGCAATTTTAACACCTGAAGATTGCATATTATTAATGGGAATATGAATGTTGGTCGATATTGGCTTTGCCAGGTGAAAATGAATTGCAGCTTTTAATTGACTGCATTGTTGAAACAATAAAGGAATCCTAGTTCCTAAAACATGCCACAATTATTGATTCCTACATGTCTTAAAGTCATCTATGCTGTGTTATTTACTGGATGACACAAAATGTACATGTTCACAGCTACCAATCTGGAATTTTTCCCTTTTTTTGGACAGAAATGCTTAATACAAATACCACATTCCTCTCCAATTTGTTTCATAGTTTCTGAACAATCTCCATGATATATATATATATATATATATATATTTTTTACAATGCTAGAATGATACAAAGTAACAAGCAGGTGAAGAAAACTACTGAAATAACAAAGATGTTTTGTGCCAGAAAACTGTTAAAAATCTGTAAACAGATATTTGAAGTTCACAAAAACATAAAACTTACATAATTTTAACATTCTTTTAGTCTGATCATTTAACCAGAAAACCACACACCTGTTATAATTTGTTGGCTAATATTATGGACTCATCCAGAAGTTCTTAGTTTTAAAATACGTAAATATATAAATAATAAAACTACTTACATGAACATTTTTGTTAATTTTAATTCATTTTCACACAGAATTCATTTTTTTTAATTACTGCATGTGATCTGAATTGAGGTACTGGGTATAATGAAAACCCAAGTTGACAAAAAACTTCTAAAATCCTCCTGACCACACAGTCATATATTACAAACACATCAAAGACTGATCCAAATATTTTTTGTTAATAAACATATAAAATACATACCCTTAGGCCTGTTACATAAAAAGATACATGTCTCAATTACAACTAAACATACTGACCATCTCCAATGATCATTAGAAGGATAATGCATAATCCTTTGTACTTGACCAGTCTCACCTATAATAACGATTAAGTAATATATACCTAGATGAACACCTTGTTGTAT